GAATATAGCCCGCTGTCACTTTAAGAGCCGCACGGATCCAATTTACTGTTACGCATGTATTTTCATTCTCAACTCTTTGTTCATTTATTACATGACCGACGAGGGTTTACGTGAATTATCATTAAGGCCGCATTTTGACACATTTTTGCGCGTATTTGACCGTTCAGGCACGCACCTTGAGCTAAAAGATTACTTTACATGTCCATGTTCTGCTCCATCCTGGGGAACAGCACAAGTTTCGCGCTTTTAAAAACATGAATAAATCTAATCAACTTTAATAAATCAAGCACGTCCCATTTTGCAAAAGTTACATGATTTACTGATTTGCACGTGAAATTGTTTTTTTTTGTTTTGTTTTGGAGGAACGAAAGCACACCGCTGGAAAGGGGGCGAAATGGGGTGCAATAATAGTTATCTCGATTATTGTATTTTCATAATCGTTGGTGGCCAAAATCAAAATCGAAACTGTATTTCAAATATTAATTGCACAGCCCTAATAGACAGACAGATATTTTTCACATAGCTATGAGAAGCGTTAAACATGGACGTGTACGCAGTTGCTACTGTAACGAGCAATACTTGCTGGCAAAACACTTCTTACTGTTAAAAAAATGCTATAATGCAACCATGTATTCTGCTGTATTAAAGATTTAATCAAGATAAAACAGTATATTAAAAGCTAACATAAGCAGTAGCATTTACAAATAACAGCATATCAAAAAGTATGAGACTACAATAAACAAAAAACATAGGCCTACCATTAAAAGCTGTGCTTGCACAGGTTCTGCGCAATCCTCTTCAATAATATCCTCTGCTTCTCAATCGGGCTCAAACTGATAAGCGATATTAACGACGCCATTGTTTACAATACAACTGGAGCACATGCCGCTGAGATGAGGGGCGGGACGGTTAGACGAGCACTAGAGGCGGTTTAGCCAATCACAACACACTGGACTAGCTAACCAATCAGAGCCCAACACCTATTTCTGAGGGAGGGGCTTCATAAAAGCAGGAAATGATCAGCGCATTCTCAGAGAAGGGACAGAGCGTTGTAGAATAAAAGGTAAATTATGTGAAAAATAATGCGTTTTTAAAAAAACGAAGCATTAACACATGTTAGACTGCACCCCATAAACACAATCGAGCCTAGAAAAAAAAACAGTGAACCACCCCTTTAATGTGTTTTATTGAGTTAATGCACTTACAGGCATTTTCTTCTGGTTTTGCTCGTCCTTTGCCACCAGCAAATCGTGGATTTTCTCATTGTACACCTCAAAATAGCTCATCTCCAGATGGCAGGAGATCTTTAATAGAAAATAAACGTCAATCATAAATATATCATAAATAAATTCAATCATAAATTGTAAATAAATAATCATCAAATGGGATAGCAACCTCTTTGTTTTCAGTTCTAGACAATCTCGAGAAAAGTTCCTTGCAGAATCTGGGAATAACGCCAGCCTCTTCACCAAAACCCATCATACTAGAAAACATCCAAAACGTCACTTTAAAAATATTAATCAGGGCTGCGTTTCTCAAAAGCATCGTAAGCCTAAGTAGATCGTAGATCCATTGCCACCAATGGTCTCTACGATCAACTTAGCTTATGATACTTTTGAGAAATGCAGCCCTGAATTGTTATTACTGTTAATACTGTAAGTACTGTTAATTAACTACAAAAATTAAATAAAATAAATAATGCAGTTTCGAAGAGAATCATCACTTACGTGTAGGACTTTCCAGAACCCGTTTGGCCGTATGCAAAAAGACACGTGTTAAATCCTTCAAATGCTCTTTCAAGCAAGGGCCGAGCCAGTTTTTCATAAACCACCTGCTGACTGGCAAAGCTTGCATCCGATTCATTGATAGAGCAAAAAGAGAAGTCAAAGGTAAATGTGTAGCTTTGTTTAGTATCTGGATGTTGCACAACAGTTTCGTGGTCGTTCATGAAGATGACTTGACGGGCTTTCTCGTTCTTCTCCCTACAAACGCAAATAAAAAGCGAAAATTTTAGTACAAGTGGCACTGTGCACAATAAGATTAAACCATAACTATACTAATTAGATATTATATATAAAAATAATATTATAAATGTTATAAAATTATTATTATATTATATTATTATAATAATTAATATTATTACATAATATTACCATTCACCTCAAGCGGTCAAACTAAATACTAAAAAAAATATATATACTAAAACACTAAATAAATATGTAAATAAATAAACAAATAAATATTTTTCAATAAATAGCCAATAGAAAATAGAGTATATTAAATTGAATATATCAGAATGGGTAACAGGGTTGACTGATTAATGCATAACTCAGTAGGAGTTTGGTTTGGTTTGTAATTAGTGATAGTTTATTCATTTCCAAAATAATATTTCCCAAAATATTTGAAAAAATATATTTGTTTGATATTTTTCTTTAAAATAAATTAAATAAAAGGGTTAAACAATTAAGGCTAACGAATGCTGTCAAAATTACAATGTGCATAAAAATTATGAAAAAAAAAATGTGATTATTATTTAGGATGCTTGTCTTCCACCTTGCCACAATTTTTACAAAAGGGGAATAAAATAAATATTATGTTTGTTGTAATTCAAATAAGTTGAACATTTTTTTGTGATTTACATTTTTTTGAGGATTTAATTGATTTTTAATTAAGTTTTATACACTCAGACAGACAATCACGTTATTTTTTAAGTAACAAATTTGTAAACTAAAACTTGCCTCAAAACAGCATGCCGCCAACATAAAAGTTTAGAAACGTTTCTTACCTTGAACTGAAAGGTCTTACTCGAACTGCAACAGTGACTGCACTGTTCTCCATCTTCAGCTCTTGGGGTTGTAGAGCACTCGTTCTGCTCACAGCTTCAAGAGGAACATGTCCTTCAGCAGGAGCAGCTCTAGAAACACCTGTTCCTCCACGAGCTGTGGAGCTCATTAGGGCTGTGGGTCTCCTCACCTGTGCTGAACGTGAGGCGGGTGTCATGTGCCTATTTAAACCACCAATCTGAACCTTCTCAGCTGTTGCTCCACATGTTGATTTTGCAGTTTCAGTGCTCATCTGTGGTGGCTTCTGTCTTCCAGCGGTTGTGTGTTTGGAAGATGCGGGTCTAGATGCATCTTTACCAGCCAGCCTCTCAAAGACGTCTCTCTTTACGCTTAATTTCTCAAACTGGGTTCTTCTTGTAGGTGTCGAAACGGGTTTACCCTCATCATGGGTGGCACTGACCTTCTCAGAACTTGTTTTCTGAGCACTCCAGGAGGTTTTCCCAGGTGTTTTGATGGTTTCGTGGGTCTCTTTTGCTGAAGATGGTGCTGGATTGGGTTCGGTCAGGACTTTGGTTCTGGTCCGGCGCTGAAGGGTCAGGCGTTTCTCTCCTCTTTGGTTCTCCTGTGTGGTTTCTTCATGGTGGTTTGTAGTGGTTCTGCTGGGCTTTCTCTGAAGAGTGAGTCTGGCACCAGAGGATGGTGTTTTAAATGCGTTTTCTCCACATTTTGTGAGTGCTGAGACCACATAAGTCCTGTTTATTTCTTTGGTTTTATTGAAAGATGATGTGGTCTCTATCTCTTTTGATCCATCCATAATTGTGTCAAAAAACAAGACTTTTGACTATAAAATTGTTTTAAGATTGTCCCACATGTACTACAATCCACAAATGTAAATGTTGTGTATAAGTACACCGAGGTGAACAACCTGTCAAATGACTTAAAAATACATCTTTACGTAAACCCATAACTAAAACTGACCTGCGAGTGTTGATATCCTGTTTTGTAAACTATTAAAAGTTCTTTTGTTTATGGTTAAAAAAGAAACCGCTGTCCTTTCTTCGTCCAGTTTACTACTACCGTTCCGACAGTAAGAAAGTATCAGACTGGACGCCTCCTCAAAGCGTCAATAAAAACAACACCTCACTGTCTGCGGACCGCCATACTGCCGCTCTAATTCAAAACCAGTAGGCGTACTGTGATTGGTCAGCTCAGTTTGACGCGCAGTCACGCCCACCTACCAACAGATGGCAGTGTCTATTTACGTATTTACTGTACATGAGGAAAATCAAGCCTGTTTATATTAACATTAATACATTTTGCACTGTGATATTTCAGTCACAATGAAGAACATTTTCACACCAAAATGTTCGTTTGTGAAATGTGTAATATGAAAACTTATATTATTTTATGTGTATTATTTATTAAATAATAAATAATTTTATATATATTTTAAAACAAGTTATA